GATGCATCTAATGAAACTACTAAAAAGATAGCCATGTCAAATGCTTGTGGATTGTGGCTCTATGAAAAATTGCATCTTAACTAAATTTGTTGATTGACTTGGGATTAAAACTAAGCTAACTAAGAGAACGTATTAAGTGAGATATGTAAAGAAGAAACCTTGAAGTTGATTGACACCTACATCCTAAAAATAAGATTCTAAGTAATAAAGCTAAGATATGATATTATCTTTGATATGTTAAGGCTATACGTGAAAAATAAGTAAGTTGATTCAACAAGAAAGACAATCTTCTTGAAAGATGGTGGATGCAAGGTGACTCTTTATACTTCTATATTAAACAAAGAAGAAAAATAATTTGCAACTAAAGACTTACTTATAGGGATGACCTTTATAAAGAGACAAATACAATATAAGAAATCAATATATATGGTGGTTTCAAATCTTGCATCAATGGTAGAAAAGAAAATCAAAGGAGTAGAATGGACAGAGCAATTCATATGAAAATATTAAGATGTCTTTCCAACCAAAACACCTAATAGTCTAACTTTTAATTGAGGTATCTGCTTTCAAATAGAACTAATGCGCATCGCCAAACCAATAAGCTGGCTAATTTATTGCCTAGCACCAAATGAGTTTGAAGAGCTACAAAAAAACTTAAACAAATTCTTGAAGAAGGGCCTTGTAGAATATGTAAATAAATTTTGTAATAAGTTACTTGTTGGTTATTGACAACCTTGAGAATTAAACTTATGGTTAGGCAGTTTAGTTGGTAACAGTAGGTTGTTAGTAGAACAAATGGTTAAAAATTCAAATGTTCATAACCTTTGGAATCTGCTGGCCAACAGTCCATCTTTTGGTAGGATAAAGAGGTTGAGAAAAAGGAGATTGGGGCGAGACTATGATAGTCGTAAGCCGAGGTAAGCTTGGTGCTACCTCTTTGTTTTCTTTGCTTTTATTATTTGGTTATGAAGAATTGTGATTCAGAGAAGTATTGTTGAAACTGTGATTAGAATATTGTGGAATATGACTTTGGACTGATCGTTTTGGAGAAAATTTGTGACCTTGAGAATTGAGATTATCGAATTGTGTTGTGTTAAGAGAAGATATTGAATTTTGTGTGATGAATTGAGAAACTGAACATAATAAGTAAGCTGAAGATCAATAATTGAATATATATAAACTGCAAAGAGAGTAAGTAGGAGATGAACTAATAAGAATCTGAAAGTATTGTTGAATTGATAGTCGTAGAATGGATTATGTGTTGAATTAAGACGGAAGTAGTAAGCCTTGGTGTTTTGTAGTTTGATAATTGATTTCAGATAGCTAGAGTACAGTCAATTGTGATACTAACAGATCCAATTCATATAACTAGTCTTTCCCCGTATTCAAACCCACCTCTATTAGTTCAATTGCTTTAGTATATTGAAGCTTGAACACAACGAGAACAACAGGCCTTATTTGAAAAAGCATATCACCATAGAAAGCACTTGTATTCTTTACACCTAAGAAGGATGATAGACTTTGACTTTGCATTGACTATCAAGGCTTCAATAAGCAAACTATTAAAAATACTTATCCACTTCCATGCATGGATGAACTTCTCGATCAAATTTAAGGTGCAACCATCTTAAGAAAATTGGATCTTTGAAGTGGATATTAGTAGACACCTATTGCAAGAGAGGATATTAAAAAGATGGCATTTTATATGTGGTATAGACATTTCAAATGGCTTGTTTTATCTTTTGGCTTCACCAATGCTTCAGCCTCTTTTATAGGTCATATGAACAGATTATTTTGGGACTTTTTCGATAAATACATAGTTATTTTTATTGATAATATCCTTGTACATACTAAAACCCTTGAGGAACATGAGCAACACCTATAAGAAATGGCAAGCTGGCTATAAGATAATTGCTTCTATTACAAGCAATAAAAATATGAACTTTGAAAGTTGAAAGTCACTTTTTTGGAGCATGTGGTGTCCTTCAATGGCATGCGCATAGAACAAGAGAAGATGAAAGCATTAGAGGATTAGCCAACCTCTAAGAATGCTTCTAAAGTTTGCTCATTTTTAGGCCTTACTGGATATTATTGTTATTTTGTTTAGAAATTTGTACATATTATTGCCTCATTGATAAACGTATTGGAGAAAGGTGTCCCATTTGAATGGAAACTAGAGCACCAAAGCACCTTTGATAGGTTGAAGGAGGCACTCATTATTGCTCCAATATTGCAACCATATGATTCTAAGCTTCTTTGTATACTTAATATTGATGCTTTCGACTTTGCTATTGGAATGATCCTTCAACAAGACTTAGATAGGGGCCTTCAATATGTGACATATGAATCACGCAACCTCAGAAGAGCAGAGCAAAATTACTCTAAACATGATCAAGAGCAATTAGTAATTGTACATACCACAAAGATGTGGCGAAACTATTTGTAAGAGAAGCTAGTGGTTGTTTGGATTGACTCTCAATCCTTGCTATACAATTTGCATTTGAAAAATATGAAATTACATCATCATTGAGAAGTACAGTTGGAGTTTTTTTTATATTGAATTTGAGTACATACGAGGGTGATAACATATTAAACCAAACAACTTATCATGGAAATTAGATTTAAAGGCTCAATCAAGAGACAAGGCAAAAGTTATTACTATTAGTAGTGTCATTTCAAATTGTCTTTGTAGATCAACTCTCAAAGTAGTTTTATTCAGCTATGATGTGCTCGGATATTGATGCCTCAACACTTGCATGGATCTTCTTCGATACTAACTTTTGTTACCATGCATTATCTCGTAACATTGTTTCAGATCAAGATCCATGCTTCACAGGAAGTTTTTAGTAAGCCTTGTTTAAGCTATTAGGCACATGACTTGGCATGTCTATAGCCTTCTATTTCCAAACAAATGAATAAACAGAGTGTATAAATCAAACCTTGGAAGATTTTTTGTGGATATTTGTGATAATTCATCATAATGATTGGGATGAATATTTGATGCCCTTGAAATTTCTTACAATAATAATATTCAAGAAAATACAGATCATTCACCATTTTTTCTTAACACCACTTAATATCTAATTTTACTAGTAATTCTCCATTGTTCCATTGACACCAACAACTCAACAACAAAGGAATTTATATAATGGCTTACAACAGCCTTATAAGAGATACAGCACCACCTTCTTACCGCAAAAAATAGACAAAAGCAGTATGTAGATAACCATCAGCAACAAAAGACCTTCTAGAAGGGTGATTAGTTGTTATTGTTCAATGCCAACTTGCCACTTACTACATCAACTCATATCCATAAACTAGCACCTTGTTGGCTTGGAACTTTTCACATTTTTGCAGTGATTTTTGATGTCACATACTACCTCAAGCTTCTACCACATATTTATGTTTATTTAATTTTCTATGTTTTACAACCAAAGGAATTTCATACCAAGCCAATGCGCTTTTTGGATTGACACCAACTACCATCACAAGCAGTTGTAGTTGATGAACAACAAGAATATGAAGTGGATAGCATTTTGGAGCATCGCTACTTTAGTCATGGCAAGACTTACAAAATTTCAATACAAAGTTCTTTAGAAAGGTTATCCTACCTACGATGCAACATAGAAATCTATTCAGAACCTCATTCATTGCCAAGAGACAATTTGGAAAAACTATTGAGAGCAAAACAAGGATGTTTAACTATCCACATTAGTGAATGGAGATTAACTGTAATAGGATATAGATAAGATATTTGTATTGTTGACACATAGGGATAGATAGTTGGAATCATGTTTGAGAAGTTATGGAAGTTTTTAGAATTGAAACAAGATTAATGGACTATGTAGGACCCATTATGGAACATTCTAAAAAGAGCTTAGGGCAATTATTTAGGTGAAGTCCATCATCTAGGAAGCTTCTAAAAAAGGCTTATGGTCATTATCTAGGTATGATTCATCATCTAAGAATATTCAACAAAGTCCAAGGTGGTAGAAAAAAGTATAAATAGCATTGGCCTGAGCTTTTTGGAGCATTTGGGCAAGTATAGCGTCAAACCTTCATTCTTAATAAAGTTTGGTTTTGCACCTTGCTGTTCAATTTTATTTTGGTATATTTTTGTTTGCATAGTTTTATCTCTTATGTCCTATTTTGCTTAATTTTGTTCAATTTTGTCCTAATCTATTTTGTCCTACTTTGTGATGAGATTTTATGTTGCTATGGATTAAAAGGGTCTTAGACTCTTAAGATAAACTAATCATGTTTTAGTAAAGGTTTTTGTTTTACAAAGTAATTGCTTAATGAAATTTCTTGTAATCTATTATTTGATTTAAAGTATACTAAGTTTGATTTTAGTTTTGATTAATTTCTAGATTTAATACCTTTTTGTTGGAAACATGGTACAAAAAGGTATTAAATCTAAGGAAAAAATAACATCAAATGAAAGAAATATATGTGAACAAGGACATAAAATCTTCAATCATATAGATTGTTCTATCATGTATGGTAATAGAAGCTTTCAAAGTTAATAGAGACTCTATTATCATCTTATATCAAAAAATAAAATCATTTGCAATTAAAAATATAAAGAAAACTAATATAATAGCATGTTGTTTTCCAAAGTTATAATTAATAACAACTTGGTTATAATCTAGTTAATTTACTAACTTTTATTATAATTTTATAGTACAATAGTTATAAGGCTATATTTTATCAATTTTAATACAACTTGTCTGAAGTGTCAATTGCCTCTTTTGTGTATACTACTGCCAATTCTACCTACATTAAAATGTGAACACCAACATACTCATACAATGTGGAGGATTTTCATTAAATTTAATGTCTACATATTCATTTAATAAATCAATTCAATAGTTGGTATTTATTAGGACTTTGTTTTGCACAACTCTGTTAAAAATAATCATAACATCGAAAAGTCTTTTAACAGAATAGAACTTATCATGTAGGAATATATCTAGGTGTTTGGCTTGTTGCTCGAGATGTCATCAAAGACTGTAAATTAATGTACAAGTGTATTTTAATTTTGACTATCTAAGCACCTTTGCACCGTATTGAGTGGAATATGTGAACGTAATGAGAGAGGTAGTTATGGATTCCCTCCACGTCACCATTCTTGAATACTACAAGTCATCTTCTCAACCAGATAGTCAAGTCATAGCTGCAAATTTTATAGGATTGTCCACAAGGACTAACCGAGTAATGAAAAAGAGAAGGAAAATGAAAATAGAAAACTGTCTTGCAGACACAGTCACGGGGTAAGTAATTTCTTCAACATGATGCCTATCGGACATCCGAAGTGGAATAGGTAGCAGGTGCTTGCCGACTGGTCAGAATATATAGATAGAGAGAACAGAATATGGTGTCAGAGCATACTGTAATGGTGTAATGTCAAGAGCCCGAGCTAACAACCTGTTAAGACAGACAACGTGAAGGAAAACAATGCTTCACTGATCAGATAAGGAAGCTCACTTGAATCATTTCTTTGTCCTTGCCATCATTTTGATGTGTAAAACTGAAGGACCGCCATCTCCAGGATAGCATGCATTAGTACGCACTGCATATTAGTCTGCAGCAATCCTATCCAAACAATGATACACTACTTGGAGCTTCTTGTCAATGATCACAGTCGGAACAGGATACAGAAAAAACGTCAGTAGAATTCTCAATCGCTGTCGCTGTCGTGATCGTTTGTTACATCGTCATCGAAGTATTGATTGAGCAGCCGGTTACCCTCGATCCCTCCAAATTCTTCGTCGTTATCCTGAAATTGTCATGAAGTAATGTTCACCCCTACACATGTGACAAGGATGCAAAACAGAATTCTACAACGAACGATTCCCAGTTATTGAATATTAATGCCCTCAAAATAAAATATTGGGTGAAACTGTGTAGACCAGGAAGGAGACGATTGCAACAGCTCTATGCAGTAAAACTACTTACTCTGGACTCCCACTCCTCAAGTCTGGAATTTTTTGCCATGTATTCTTCCATTGTCCATGCCTCCACATCCCGTTGCTGCAGATCATGTGAACAGATATCAGCAGAGGCGGAACTAATTTTGGAACTTCATTGCCTCAAGCACAGCAAAGAAATATTACGATAGGGATGAAAATAGTAGATAAGATATTACTCACATTTGATTCAACTGTTGCGAAGTAAATATCTTTTCTTGCTGATAGCCGGGGTCCAGATCTAATGTGGGCTAGTGCAACATCTGTAGAAGAAGGACTCATGCATGTTTCGAAAATTCCGGCTCTTGGCATCACCACTGACACATCATAGAACCACACCGTCGTCATCGACAAGCAAAGAATAGAGCATCCTCGTCATCAAAGGCATCTGCATCCATAAAAGTAGAAAAAGCAAGAACTGCATGTTGCGCCTAGGAGCTCTGTAGAAATATTGGAACTGCTCACATTTTGATTCTCGAGCATCTGCGGCAACTCCTTCCCTTCGCGACTGAGAGTTGGAGCACGTCTGTACGAAACATGAAAACGAATTTCAGGATATCTCACTCCTGTACGGTGGTAGTCCCTCAACAGTTCCTTTTGAATAGATCAAACCAGTGTATCTTCCAATATCACAGACAGTCCCGTCAACGCATTTGCATAAGTTGAAGAAACAAGCTCATAAATAGCCCGAAGGAAGACGAGTGAAAGAGCCGTAATTGATTTGAAAAACAATTTGTTTGATAGACTGAGAAAGGTCACTTACTCCGCCGAACAACTTGTGTACTGCTCCGACGACAGTAATTGGATCCACACGGTTGTGCACATGGCCAAACAAGATTAGGATATTCCAATGATAACCTGCTAGCCATATGAAAGCACGCCTCGAAGAAATTCACAGCTACATCTACTCTAATAAGTACTTCCGACGCATGTGCACTCTAAACGGTCATGAGTCACACACATTCAACATTCACAGCACGAAGACAACGAATATATTCTTAAATCTAGGAAATTCCTAATCCGAGTTTCTTACTTCCTTTGCGCATGTTATACTGCTCCTTGTGGTTTTTCAATGCCGATTCTGGTACCGGATTCGCGAGGTTGAGAAGCTGCATTAATAACCACGTACATTACGAGAGAACCGATCTATGGGCAACATGCATAGAGTTTCAATTGTGGTTCCCATAAAGAAGGGATTTCGCATTGAAAGCAGAAGTGGGTCAATCCTTACCTCGCGCTTCGAATTTTCAGCCTCCTTCCTAGCCTCCTTCCTAGCCTCCTCAGCAAGCTTTCTGGACTCTATCGTGGCCTCTTTCTGCATCTTCCGTTCCAACTTCACTTGTTCATGCATGGCAAGCAATGGCTCCTCCCATGGTTTGGCAAATTTCTGTTTGCAGTGAGACGAAACCATTTCAAATCACATTTACAAGGATACTAAAAGAAGGCCTTATTAAAAACTTAGCAACCAAACAACTAACGGTAAACAGTCATCCGCAAGCAATTCGTTGCACTCACGAGGAAGACGTAACACGTACTGGCTCTTGTATAGCAGGCTTGCTTTTCTTTTTCATTAATTTTCTGAAGGCACGATTATAAGCTCTTGCGACAGGGCTCCCTTTCCCCTCGTCTTTGTTACTTCCGTAGGAGACACTACCCTCTGCGTCCGACGAGTCGCTCCAGGAATTACTGCCCATGCTACGCGTGGAATTGGACCTCAACGGCAAGGTTGGTACTTCAACGTTCCAAAAGGATGCAGACTCTGTCTCCACTTCTCCGACGCCATCTGTCAGCGTGTCCCGACGTTCAGAGGACTGCCTGGGCTGGTACTCAAGGAATGTGACGAATATATCGTCATCTTTGAATTCCCGGCTGGACTGCTGAGTTAAGTTCACTGATTCTGCAAATGGTTTCACAAATTCCCTAATTACGTCCTCGGCGACAGGACTAGCTTCGGCAGCGTGCAGCGTCACTGCTGCCTTGGGGGATCCCAAATCAATTAGATCAACCTCAACCCAATTCTTTTGTATCGGACCGATGGGAGTCGGGTTAGAAGTGCAGGTGATTATTGGAGTAAGATGTGGTACCCTGTGCGAGGCTTTAATGGAGCTAGAAATCTGCTGCATTTGGGCTCCCAATATTCCCACTCGACCTTCAAAAGTCTTTGGAGGACTCTTCGCAGGTTCTGAGGGCCTGTCCCTGTATTGCTCGAGGACGGACCTTACGCCTCCTCTCTTGCTTCTTACATATGTTGTGGAAGGCTCATCATCTTCTTCCACCGAATCAAGGGACTGCTCCCCTCTGAACTCCATGCGAAACATTTTGTAGGGACTCTCCGCTTATTTTGTCACCAAAGAGCTCCCTTATCAGTTCCCACTTCGCTATGCCAACAACAAGTCACCTCCAACCGTCGCCCGAAAAACCTTTGTCGTCCTCTGCCAATCTCTGTATTCAATTTCAACAGATTTCCTCAACATGTTAACAACTTAACCGCTGATAATACCAAACTCATCCATTTTCCGTTGTGACCTACTCCTTCACCAATATTTGCAAAGCAAGCAACCTGAGAGGCAGGGTCCAACACTGCTAAGAGAGCCAAGAGTGTTCCTCTATGGAACGCACATATGGTAAGGTGTATGAGGCTGTGTCAAGCTATGTTCCTCATACACCTTACCTTATGTGCGTTCCATACATATATACATATTCGACACACTCATGTAATTCACAACTAACGGGCCCATAGCCGATTTGATTGAGAATTTGATACAGATCGGCATAGGTAGAGCTGCTGATACACTAAGGAGCCATCTCTAGTTAAATTTAGCTCAAATAAAGCGCACGTTCAAACACAAGAATCTACCACTGCACTTTCGTAACTCTACTGTGAACAGCAGCTGAGGCCTAGCCATTCCCTGCAAGCGAAACGGCTACCCCAACTACTAGTGACAACCCAGTAGAGTCGTTCAAAGGAGAAGCTTGGACTGGTTCATCTTGTGCCTCTCGAAACAAAATGGTAATGGAGCCCAACAATTCTTACAAACACAATCGATTCGGTGAGGCGCAATCAATCTAAGAAGAACCACTGCAAGAACAAGATGAATTCCCATCTAAAGACACTGCTTGCTGCAAAGAACGTCGTGAAAGGAAAAAGGTTCCAGACAGAATATCTGGCATACCGATCCTGATGCAAACGTGTCCTCCCTAGCAAGCTACAACAAGGTTCGTACAAAAAAGCATCCCCAAGTTTCGTTTCCTCGTGAGCTACAAGAGATGCAGCTTCCCAATGTTTGCGCACCACAAGAATTATCCGCATCCAAAAGAATTGGCAAGGATCTTGAACTACTTACTCTGTGCTGGTATTTTCCGTCACTTGGACAACCCGCAAACTTCCGTTCGCAATCTGCTGTGTCATAATGCACCCTACATTGGCAGCCACATGAGGAAAGCTCCGCAAACAGACCCGTCCACCCACTCGGCATCCACCATTAAGCGCGTGATGAAGACTGCACTGCTACAACCCCAGTTTGGGAACTTGACAGCATACGAAAGCCAGGGCATATACAATCTAGAAGCTCAAATTTGTCACCGTCACTATGTGTTCAAATGCGGTCCAAAGCAACGCTCCTTAGGAATCGCGAAACTGCGACTACAACTTTGGTGAATTGATGTGCAGCATCGAGAAGACCCCATTAACTTATGATAAACATGGGGACCATGTGAACCACAGGTACGTCTGCATTAACTGCAAATCTAAGTGATCCTGCGCACTCGCAACTCCCTGCGTCATGGAACTAGTCAAACTCCAGGATGAACCGAATCGTGATGAAGACGTCAACGGATGGAATCCGCAACTTACCGTTCCACGTTAGCAATCTCTCGGCAAAAAGACACCCAACTCACTCTTGATTACAACCCTACACAATAACCGAAAGAGAACAGTAAGTTGTCGTGTAGGAAACCCTCCACAGATATATACTCAAAATTCTTCCCCGATACGAAAAATGATCCCCTGAAGTCTGGATATGGCTTCAGGGGCACCCGTCGAGCTTCACCTACCCACCTCGCCAACTCCCCCAGATTCTCCTACCTTGAGTCAGCTTTTCCCCAGGTCTGTGCGCACCACGTGATGGACTTCGAACTGAAATTAGCAAACCGCAATGCGTTCTCACAGGCCAGCTCTGAATCTTTGCATATGCTTCCGAGGATATCACACTGGACTCGTGCAGCTTGCCAGCGCTCCAAGCAACCGAGTCTTTTCAATTGAACCCCAGGCACCGGCTTTTGATTCTGAGATTTTCTGTGGTGTTTAATGCCGCTCTCAAGGACATATCCGTAACTGCGATGACGTAGACGACGGCGCGTCCCAAATGCAGCTATCTGTGGGGATGTGCTCCTGACGATGCGCCATCTGTATGTGTGGGTCTCCGCTCCCGCACCATCCTAGCTTGGCATTCACGAAGCGAAGCTCGCGATGCTGCCGCCACGTCACGCTTTGGCCCCCTCGCCTGAAACCCAAATTGGTTCTACCCCTTTCCATTCATTTACTTTTGTATTTGTGTGTGTGTATATATAAAAGTTCATTTGTGGGTCTGAATATTTTGAAATCTAGGGCAAGTGAGGACAATGAGTCTGTGTCTTTATATGCTTTCTCAAAAGAATATCATGAGCCTCTTGAGAGGTTGACAACTTCTGTAGGTGGACCATATTCAGAAGCATTTCAAATGACAAAAGTGAATAAATCTAAACAGCGTTTGTATTAAATGTCGGCTTGTTGGATTCTGTGTTGTTTTCTGGCACCCCCTCTGTGTTTTCATTGGCAGATGTTTTAGTATTTCATTGTGGAGTGTTTTTATGCCCTTTGTATTGAGCCTGAAAATGCAATTCTTGGTTCGGATTAATCATGGATACCTCATTTTCAAAAGTTTCATGTTAGAGAATATGTTGTGAAATTTTACAGTGCAAACAGAGTATGGTATTAATTGTTTTTTCTGTTAACCATAAGTTTTATACTCTAGATTCAAATTGGGTTGACCATTTCAACACAAAAGTTGTTGGAACCACAGTTTTACTTTTCAGTCATATCTATCTCAATCTTTTTGAGATAAAGTATTTTATATCACATGTTTTTTTTTAAAAAATTATTATTAATATAACTAATGTGTGCATAAATATATCACACAAATTCATGATGTTGAAAAATATGTATAATATTAAATTTCCGATTAAATAAATAAATAAATGTAAGCATCAATCAAAAAATCAATGTTGACCAAAACGAATAATATTTTGAAAGTTCATTCATTAATTAATTAATATGCTAAATTCATAATCTGAAAACTGATATATTTTTTTCACATTTAAATCTAAGATTAATTTGTAATTGAAAAGATAATTTTATTTTTAATAGTAATAAAAAGAAAAGTCAAACAATGTGAAAGATAATATGCAGATTGTTTGTCAATAATAATTTGGCTTATTTTTTTTTAATTATAGCTTGATGATCAGTGCACAACTTAATAACCAAACACTATCAAAATTAAGTAATATAAAAACATATAAAAAGTATTACAAGGTAAAATAAACACCATATTGGCTATGCAACAATACCAGATACTTTATAAGCAACAAATTGAATAGTAAGACAGTACTTTAATGCTTAATTTATGATTAAGCAAAACTGAAAGTGAAAATAGCTATCAAAGGCATCAAAGATAGTTTCAGGATGGTGTTGTATTTTCATTTTTAAAAATTCCACTTCCATAATTTACTAAAGAGAAAGAAAAAGAAAAATGACAATAAAAGTATGATCAGAGCCCACCAATCCATAAAATTTGTAATATATGTAATGGTTGTTTTAGATACATCAGTTTATAAGTTTTATTATCAACATGTCACATTGGTAGAAGAAACTTTCTATCTTGTTGATATTACATTGTAAATGAGTAATTTTAAGATGATTTTATTATGTATACAGACATTTGCATATGTTAAATGATGCTAGGTAATGCTACCAAATGTTGTTAGGTGACAAGATATAATAATGTAGTATGATTTTTTTTATACAAGAGTCAAATCCTTTATTGGCAATATCTAATCTACATTCCTTATTGAACAATACTCTCACTCTGCACTACCTCTATAATGATGTATTCAATATAAATCACTTCCCACTCATCCACAATGCCTGTTGAGTCACCACATGACCAGCATGTTAATAGCTGTGCTAAGTCATCATGATTTGTTTTACATTAATCATATTGCCATGTCCCTTCTTCCTTTATTTTGAATTAGGATAAAATTTGATTATTATTTAATGTAGCTAGATTAACTCATGTATATAAAATAGTCTTGTTGTTAATAGAAAAGTACTTGAGAGCCATTTGCAACATAATATCAAAGCAATGTTGTAATACATGTGTTCTTGCTTGAGAATGCACTAGGCACCTAGCTATAGAAGGTAAGTAGAAATGCAACAACAATTCTATCAAGTCTAATAGAATCTTAAATAAACTTTAAGTAAACCTTAACAATCCTAATCAAACTTTGACCAATCTAAAATAAATTTAAAATAAATTACAGAAAAAACACAAAAAAGTCCTAAAATAATTTCAAAGAAAAATAACAAGAATCTGAAAGAAATATAAAAATAAAATTTTCAAGAAATAACAATAATCTTAAAGAAATACTAAAAATAAAAAATTTTAAATAAATAATAAAGAATCCTAAAGAAATACTAAAAATAGAAATCTTAATTAAATCTTACTTAAATCCTAGGTCAAATTTCAATTAAATCTTAATAAAATCCAAATCCTAAACAAACCTTAAAAAATCCTAATCAATTGCTAGTCAAGTTCTAAACCAAATCCTAAGAAAATCATAATTCTAACTAAATCTTAGACCAAATTCTAAGCCCTAATCAAATCATAGACAAATCTTAAATCAAATCCTATAATAAATTAGAACCTCAACAACTAATGATTAAACTATTGATATCAACTTAATATTTGAACACTTTTTAATATCTTAATTAGAAATTAATATAGGCATGTTAAGAAAAGAATTAATAATAAGATAAAATAAAAATTACTTCAAATTACTAAAAATTACTTCAAATTATACTTTTTAATATCTTAATTAGAAACAAGCAAAAGAAAGATAAGATCAATTGTATTTACCAATTGAGAGAAATGTAAGATAATCCAATCAAGTGTTGAAGGGCCTCCTATTTCAACCTAAATATTGAACTTCTAACACCAATACCTCTTTCTTGAACCATTGAATTGTGGTCAAATTTTATTTAAATATTATAAATTGAATCTAGTATCTACACAAAAAAATTCACTTTAATCCAATTAACAAATTATTGAAGATCTTAAAAATACTCATTGACCCTCAAACTCCAAATTCTGCGACTTCAACCCACAAAAACCTTCACACACTTTGATCTAATTGTTTGATTGATTTCAAAATTTGCATACATATTTATAACTAGCACATCAACACATTATCCAAAATTCACTTGTACTTATACCACGAAACTCAAGAAACACTCAAATTTGTAAATATATTTTTATTTCTCAAAACCTAAATCAACTAAAAACATTACTAACTTAAAAAAATCCTCAAAAACTCAATATTGATTCAATTAATATAAAACCAATGCCCAAATTTTTTTTCAATTTTTCTTTCAATATTTATTCTTTGATCTATCAAAGAACTCCAAAATTGATGTATAGGCATAATTTTATGCCTCAAGATCTGATTTTAATCTAGATTGACGATTGGTCCTCTCTAGATATCAATTTTTAGTAATTTGAAGTAATTTTTATTTTATCTTATTATTAATTCTTTTCTTAACATGCCTATATTAATTTCTTATCTCATTTACTTTGATTTGGCTCATTTATGCTTGTACAAAGTGAATAGAAGTCTCTCCTATAAAAAGGTAATATTAAGACTAAAACTTTTATTACCTTTTTATTATTTATCTTTTCTTTTCTACTACATCTTTTTGCTAGGTTCGTCTATAATAACATCCATATTTTTATTTATTATTATATAGTCATATTTCTACATGACAATGTTAGAATAGTTCTTGAGGTCTAATGAGCCTTGCTCTCAAATTAGGAAGAAAGAAAGAAAGAAAGAAAGAAAGAAAGAAAGAGGGATAGAAGAAATGGTAGAAGGAAGAAAGAAGTTCATAAATTATAATGTAGGAAATTTGAGAAAATTAGTTGGAGCTCAAAAATAATTTTTTGGAAGTTGAAGACATCTACAATCTTAAAGAGAGAGAATTTATAGAACATTATAAAAACAAAGAGAATAGTTTATTATTTTTTATTAATATATTAGAAAAATCTTATATAGAAGTATAGTTACCAAAAGCAAAGCAAAGAGCTCTATTGAGCTTCACCATATTAGTCACAAATAATCTAATAAGCAAAGTATTTCAATACAATAACCTTGCAGATTTATAGAACATGTTTAGAAGAATGTTTAATTAGAAAACTAGTAATAAATCATGTTATTGATCAAAAAAATAAATAAGGTAACAATAAAAGAAGGTGGTCATATTAATATTTTTTTAATTGAGGCAATAGACAAGAAGAACTAGCTAAAGATATTTGATAAAGAAATTGTAGATAAGATTGTCATAAATACACTCGTCAATAGACTACCTTAAAACTACAAAATGGTAATTTAAGGCATCACTTATATGACACAACCAATATTTGAAGATACTATAGATAAGCTTCTTATATGAACTCATTACATAGTTATAGGAGAACAAAAGTTGAGATAAGAAAAAAAAACTTTAGTAGTACAATTTTAATAAATAAATTTCAAAAGACGTGGAGACAATTATTTTATGCAAGGATGAGGAGGTCAAAAGAGAAGAAACTTAGCTTGAGGAATCCCACATCATTTGAGAAACTAATACCTGACATGAATAATTAGTGGCTTCAAAACAAACTTTGAAGGCTATCAAACTTTACACAAAAAAGATTGCAATCTCCCACATCTAAATTTGGATAATATAAAAATATTAAATTAATATACTACTATGTATATGGAAGATCTAACCACATTACGTGAAACTACTGACAAAATCAATACAACAATTTTAATAAAAGGTATGTCAAATGAAGTACTTATGGTAGCTTTGGAAATAATATAAGTATTGTTCTCATTGTGTTCAAGCTTCAATATACCAAAGCAATTGAACTAATAGAAGTGGATTCAAACATGAGGAAAGACTTTATTTACA